GAGGAGAAGGGGACAGGGATGAGATGGTTGGATGGCATCAGCGACTCAATGGACAGAAGATTGCGCTAGCTCTGGAAGTTGGTGATGGACAGGGAAGGCTGGCGTGCTGCAGTCCATGGGGCTGAAGAAGAGTTGGACACACTGAGCAACTGAACTGAACTGAACTGTTGTTTTTTGATTGATCCTGGTTTCTTCATTTTCTCCCTTTCTTGATTAGCAAGTGTTTGAACCTGCACTTTGGAAGTTAGGGGACATCTCAAGGAGGCATCACCTCTCAACTTTGGGTAACATATCAGAGACTATACACAATCATTTGAGGAAGCTGACCATTAAACTTTCTTTCCAACAACATATCTGCTTAAAATTGCTTTAGATAAAAAACCTGATTCATAGGATGATCTGATCATGTAAATAATTTTTAAACCCATAAATAATTAGTAACGAATGTTGACATTTTGGGGAATTATAAATATGTGTTAAACTAAAAGCAAGATTTAGAATCAATTTTCATGTATTCTGAAGCATTCTAGTTAGGTAATAGTTCATTTCTCTTCAAGGTTGTTATGTATAATTTCTTATAATGTTGGTTGGGTTTACCTTGAATGATAAGAGAGATTCTTAAAAGTTCTTTATGTGCCATTTGGTCAAAATCATGCATTTCAAAACTGCTGAGTGTTGGCCTAACCAGTGACAGTAGTATTTATCCTTTTGAAACTGCACACCCTGAACCCATACATATCTCTCAGATGGGACTGGAACACACAAACTCTGGTTTAGGACTATAAAGAAAGCTGAGCGAAGAATTGATGCTTTTGAACTGTGGTGTTGGAGAAGACTCTCAAGAATCCCTTGGACTGCAAGGGGACCCAACCAGTAAACTAAAGGAAATCAGTCCTAAATATTCATTGGAAGGACTGATGTTGAAGCTGACACTCCAATACTTTGGCCACCTGATGCGAAGAGCTGACTCATTTGAAAAGACCCTGATGCTGGAAAAATTTGAAGGTGGGAGGAGAAGGGGACCGCAGATGGTTGGATGGCATCACCAACTCAATGGGCATGAGTTTGAGTAAACTGCAGGAGTTCGTGATGGACAGGGAGGTATGGTGTGCTGCAGTCCATGGGATCACAGAGTTGGACACAACTGAGCGATTGAACTGAACAAGTCCACAATCTCTCAGCTGAAACCACATTCTTGGCCTTAGGACTTAATGAAATTCAGGTTCTTTATGTCTCTGCAGAAGGAATTCAGCAAGAGGCAAAGCAATTGACAAGAAATAGCTTTAAGTAAAGGATGCTTGGAAGGATACAAGCGGGTAGGCAAGAGGCTCTGCCCCAGAACTAAGTGGGAAAACAGTTTTATTTAAGGAGATGAAGTGAAAGTTGCTCAGTGGTGTCTGACACTTTGCGATCCCATGGACTATATAGTCCATGGAATTTTCCAGGCCAGAATACTGGAGTGGGTAGCCTTTCCCTTCTCCAGGGATCTTCCCAACCCAGGGATTGAACCAGGGTCTCCCTCATTTCAGGCAAAATCTTTATCAACTGAGATATCAGGGAAGCCCATTAAGGAGATAAACACTCCATAGACAAAGTATAGGCCATCTCAGAAAGTGAGATGCCCTGGGAGATACACACCCCATAGATAGAATGTGGTCCATCTCAAAAGGCAAGAGCAGCCCATAGAGTGTGGGCTGTATCAGAATGTGAGAGCGGCTCCAGGGGATGGGGTGTTAGTTTCTTTGGGCTGGCTAATTTCACTATGGGGGAGGATTATTCCATTTTTTTGTGGGGAAGGAGCAGGGATTTTCAGGAATTGGGCCACCACCCACTCTTTGATCTTTTATGGTTGACCTTAGAACTGTCATAGCACTTATGGGTGTGTTCATGTAACATATGCTAATATGTAACAATGAATCTGTAAGGATGCTCAAGGTCCATGAAGTTGAAACTTCTACCATCTTGGGCCTGATCTGTTCTAACCAGTTTTTGTCCTGAACAGCCATGACCTTGTTTTAAAAGTTGTATCCTGGGAATTCTCTGGCAGCCCAGTGGGTAGGCCTTGGTGCTTTCCTGGCCGGGGTTTAATCCCTGGCCAGGGAATTAAGATCTTGCAGGAGGAAAAAAAAAAAAATCGTATGCCCTGTCCCCATCCCCCTGTCTTGTTTTCTTTGGTGCCTTCTGCTTGTTTGTAGTTTTTAAAAAGTTTGTTTTGATTTTCTTCATTGTATTCCATTTCAAAATAGAAAAGGCAAAGGAGGTTTCCTAGACCTTGAATCTTGCAGTCTACCTTGGGACAAGTGGTTCTGAAAGCCATGAAGCTGGACTGGGGGCCAGTTATAAAGAGCAGTAGATTGGCTACTTTAACATCAATAGCTTCAGTTAATCAGCCTTTCTGGATTTGAATGTTTCTATGTGAATTTGAAAGGTAAAACTGGTCTACACTTAGTAACAAATTCTTTTTGATAATTGGTTTTAGGTACTTTCTGCTCTTTTAAGTTCACATCCAGGCCATTGTCATTTTAGGAAATGACAATGGCTTTGTTTTAAATGTTGATGGAAAAAGTGTAGAGAACATAATGAATACTATTTGCAGGGGCTTTTATAAGTCTTCTGGAGTAGGGGCAGAGCATGAGGGGTAGGAAGCTCAACTTTGAATTTCCAAATATTTACTTGCACAATTCCTGAGAGTTACGAGAAAAGGAGAGAAAGATAATCTAGAAGGTGGTTCTTGTCACCACCATCATTGCTAAGAAAAGTTAGGATTATTTACTGTTTCCTATTCTTTCCAAGTCAATTGATGAAGAACTTTCTTATTATCTTATCACTTAAAAAAAAAATCTTCCTATCACTATCAGGCAACTACTGGAGAGTCATAAACTAATAGCTATGCTAATAGGAAGGCTACTGTGCACTGTAAGGATTAAAATATAAAACTTTAATCTCTCTTAGCCTCTGGACTTGTATTCCCTCTTCTCATTGGGGTTCTGAATACTGTACAAGGAGGCCTGCTCACATATTTTACTTTTTGAATGAACCCTTTTGTTCATAGCTCAAGTTTAGTCAGTTTGAAAGAAAATAGTTTAGATGATATTACACACTTTCTATTAAGTACTGTCAGAATTTTTAGTTAGAAAGGACAACCATTTTTTGGGTGGTGGCAGAACTGCTGAATCCATGTCTGGTTTTTTGAAGTGTTCTTTCTTTGAAAATTTGGTTACTCTTATTTCTTATACTTATTTCCTAATGAATCTTTTTATTTATTTATTTATTTTATTTATTTATTTATTTATTTATTTTGAATCTTTTTAAAGCTTCAAGTTTTAATTTTTACACAATGGAACAAGATACTATTAACTTGATGAGGCAAGTCTTAGTGACTAAAAATTGTAACTGCTATAACTAACTGGGACAAATCATAGCTGGCAGCTAAGCTCAAAGTTTAATCACTTCCAGCCCATATTAGCTGTTCCAGTCAGAGCTTGATGTGTTAAGTGACTCTACCGTCTGTGTGTGGGTGTCTCTGTGTGTAAACATTCTGAGGCAAATTAATCTTTTTAGTGCTTCTTTGATTGAAAAAATTCAAGTGCTTTCCCCCCCCACCCCCCATAATTAGATGAAGAAAGTGAGGTGAAAGTCGCTCAGTTATGTCTGACTCTTTGCGACCCCTTGGACTGTAGTCCATGGAATTCTCCTGGCCAGAATACTGAAGTGGGTAGCCTTTCCCTTCAGGGGATGTCCCAACCCTCCCTACCCAGGTTTCCCACATTGCACGTAGATTCTTTACCAGCTGAGCCACAAGGGAAGCCCAGTTAGATAAAAGGAAAACTCAAAATTGGCTTAACGAGTTGATTTCAATTTATTGGTCTTATATCCTGAGATCTATCTAGTTCATCTTTAGTTCTAATACCCTTTTTTTTTTTGTTTATTCCTTAGCATTACACACATAGACAGCTTTTCATCTGTGAATGAAGACAGGTTTACTTCTTCCTTTCTAGTCTTTATGCCTGTAATTTCTTTCTCTTGCCTGCACAAGCTGGCTTAGAACCTTTAGTGCAATGTTGTAGAAGTGATGAAACCTATATCCTTGCCTTTACAGAAACCTTCCTTTGGGACTGTCTTCTTCCTATCCCTACAATATCCAGTGCCTTAAATCAGATTTTAAGTGTTCAGATGGATTGGAAAGAACAGTATTTAGGAGATAACTAATATACTACTCCTACAGTGTGAAGTTAGGGATTTGTGTTTTAGACTAAAGAATGCTGCACCCAAGAGTGAGCTTGTCATCTATGACCTGTGTTTATTGTAGTAATACAGTCTGAGTGAAGATAATTTGAAGCGGACATACTCACATAGTAACTGTTGTAGGATGAGTTAAACAGGGTGGAAGCTTGCTTTAAATAAATTAAAGGAGACCTTTATGAGAAAACAGGTAAGCCTGCTATCAAACACCCACTCCCATCTTTTCCAAAACTAACAGTCTAAACCTTGCTAAATATTAGTATTGGGTGGCTTCAAGAAAAAGGGATAATCTTTTATTTGAAACTACTATCTTTTGACTTTATAGTTCAACTTGTGTGTTGTTTAGTAGGAGTTTAACCGAAGAAATTGGATAGATAAAAGGAAACTTTTTGAAATTATTTTCCAGCTCATTAAATACAGTTCTTATGTGTTCAGAATGATCTTGTATTTTGCAAATTACTATGTATCTAGTAAGTCAGGTGCCTACTTCCTATTACTTTTAAGTCAGCATATTAATAAGAGAAAGTAAGTATTGAAGAATACATGAGAAAGGGGAAGAACTTACTAAGCCTCTATTAAAACCTAAAACTTTTGTAGAGTATTGAAAAATAGTTCTGTTACTTGAGAGCTAGGTGTAAAGTGTGCTTTGCTGTTGGGAGTACTAGATGGGAGTGCTTTATTGCTGACATTTTATTTAAATTTTGTATTGTTTAGATATTTGGATTTGAATTGCATTTTGGAGTTTATCAACATTTACAATGCCACCAGCAGTTGGAGGTCCAGTTGGATACACCCCCCCAGATGGAGGCTGGGGGTGGGCAGTGGTAGTTGGAGCTTTCATTTCCATCGGCTTCTCTTATGCGTTTCCCAAATCTATTACTGTGTTCTTCAAAGAAATTGAAAGTATATTTAATGCCACCACCAGTGAAGTGTCATGGATATCTTCCATCATGTTGGCTGTCATGTATGGTGGAGGTGAGTACCCACTAAGGCCTGTTGTTTTGATTTTCACTAAGCAACCAGATACTCTGTTTTAGGTAACTTTTTAAAAAATGTTTTATTCACGAGGTGTTTGAAATGATATTCCTTAAAGCTTTGTGTTTAAAATAGTCACATTTTTAATTTTTATTAACAATGACAACTCTTGCTTTGCTTGCACTATAGTATTCTTATTCTTATTCTTATAGAAATAAGAAATTGTTAGGTTTTGTTCCAGCTCAGTATCATTGAACTTAAAAGCTCTTAGAAAAATTTCATATGCACAACTGATTTTGCTTATTGCTTCTGCTAGATTCTTGATATAAATGTAAAGATTCTTTTTAATTGATGTTGGGAGGATTAAAGTAAATCAGGCTCACTTGAATATCACAGTTCAAAGTCTCACATAAAATCTTTTCATGGTGTTAGAATTAAAGAACTGGATAAAAATCCCCTCCTTGTTTTGTTCCTTGTGATGTAATTAGTTCTAAAGCATTTCAGCTGCATCTTAGCTTAAGTTTTATCATTTTTTACCCTTCTGTTTTCTTGGACATGTTGTAAAGGAGTGAAGGAAATGTGGAGAGTAACTTGCTTACCTTAGCATCATTTAAAATAACTGGGGTTACTTGTTTGCCTTGGAACATCAAATCACAATTTAAGATATAAAAGTCAAAACCTCCCATAATAATAATAAAATAAGTAGTCGCTTAGTTAGCAGAGATTCTAAAGTTAAGTGTATTTATTTACTGGGATTGACAGCTCACATGTTGATTATGTAGCCAAGCTTTCACTTTTTTTTAATGATAATAATTTAGTACCTCAGAGGAACTTCCCTGATAGCTCAGTTGGTAAAGAATCCACCTGCACTGCAGGAGACCCCAATTGATTCCTGGGTCAGAAAGATCCATCGGAGAAGGGCTAGGCTACCCACTCCAATGTTGTTGGGCTTTCCTTGTGGCTCAGCTGGTAAAAAATCCACCGGCAATGCGGGAGACCTGGGTTTGATCCCTGGGTTGGGAAGATCCCCTGGAGAGAAGGGAAAGGCTACCCACTTTAGTTAGTATTCTGGCCTGGAGAATTCCATGGACTGTAGCATTAGTCCACGGGGTCGCAAAGAGTTGGACTAAGCGACTTCACTAGTACCTCAAATTATTTTCATATAAGGCCTTTAAAGAGATTCTGTATTTTTAAAAAAAGAGAGATTCTATATTTCATCTGTAAAACCTTAGCCTTAGGCTTCTAAACTGGTGGCAGATTCAACATATATATATATATATATTTAACCCATATTTACCAATCTGTACACACGTATTCCTCACTAGACTAGGTCTAAGTTATAGAGGACACACTGATCTTGATTCCTTGAAAAGTCTGTAATCCTTGAGCCCTTGAAAAGTCTGTAACCCTGTTGAGACAATAATGTAGACAACTCATGAAATATTAAGTATTTGAAGTCATAATTTAGTTCAGTGCTTAAATCTCATTGCACAGAAAAAGGGTAAGCTGGCTGCCTCAAGGGGAGAGAAAGTAGGAGTGGAGATGGAAGATTTATTTTTTTTTCTGCCGAATGTTTCTTTGTGCTTTTAAATTTTGAATGCATGCCTCTTTTGTCTGTTATAAGATTAAGTACCTTTTTTTTTTTTTTAAGATTTTTTTTTATGTAGGCCTTTTTAAAAGTCTGTTGAATTTCCTAAAGCATTGCTTCTGTTTTTCCAGAAGGCATGTGGAATCTTTGCTCCCTGTCCAGGGATTGAACTCAGACCCCCTGGAAGGGGAAGTCTTAACCACTGGGCCTACAGGAAAGTACCTAAAATTAAGTACTTTTAAAGAGACCAGAAGTTCTAAATTATATTACTTACTTGTTTTTCATGAGTCCAGAGAAATTAAAAGGGATTTTGGACATTTTATAGCTTCTGAGAACCATTAATTTTGGAGGCTCTGAACTCCATCTGCTAGAATTTCTAATCAGATTTTGACTCTGATGGCTTGAAGAAATTGATATAGATATTATCTAGAGGTACTCCAGGTGTTCAGAGTATTTTTAAGCTGACTACAAACAACAGGTTCACATGTTGTAATTCTGAGAGCAAGAGCTTGAAAGCTGCTTGCATTTTGCATCAGAAGTAAGTGATGTCAGTAGTGCTGATTGCACATGACACTTTTCTTTTGGGAAAACAGTTTCTTCTTTTGTTCTCACCCAGAGATAACTAGCACATTTCTTTGAATTTGTGTTATAATAGGCCTATAAACTGTACCATTCTCTATTTTTAATGATAGCTAATTGGGGTCATCCTTACTAAAATAACTCCGAAAGACAAATTGCGTATCAAGAGCCTTGTGGCATAATTTTTTACCAAATGGGTTATTTTGTTTTGTTTGGCTTCTAGGTGGTAGGCCCCTTTAAGAATTATTTTTAAAACTTCTTTAACCTTTAACCTTTGCATTTGGGCCACACCCTCAACCCTAATCATTTTTGTGATAGTAGTGGTTTAGTGTTCATGCCTGCCTTCCTTCCTCCTTCCTTCCTTTTCTCTTAATTTCTTTTTTGTGTGCTTTGGTTCACAGATACATACTGTTTCTTGTTAAATTATATTTTTAAAGGAGAGGATCTTAGTTACCTACTCTTGGGTTGCTGGGTTTGTTTTTTTTTTAGTTTTTCCCTTTTTTAACATGAAAGTATGAATTTACATATTTTTAGTTCCACAGTAATGTCATCTTAACATTCCTAACTTAAAGTACTTCAAACTTTACAGCATTAACTTTTACTTCACAGTGTCAACAATGTGACAGTCTTTTTGGAGCTCTGTAATTCTGACTATACAAAAATCTGTTTAATGACTAGTGATATTTTTTCAATATTTAATTCTTTCATCATATACAAACTGTAAATTCAAATTATTTCCAAACCAGCTGTGGCCTAATATTTTCATGAAGTGACTTAGAAGTTTGATGAAAACTTTAGATACAGCCCTGGTTGAGGCTGAAGTCTCTCGTGCAGCCATCTCTTGACCCAGACTTTTTTTTTTTGACCCAGACTTTTAAAGAGAATTGGTCCTCTGAAATACTAGGATATCAAAAGCTTTAATTACTTCTTGTGTGTTTATTGTATGTATGTATACATATATAGGGCTTCCTGTGTGGCACAGTGGTAAAGAATCTACCTGCCAGTGCAGGAGATACAAGAGACTGGGTTTAATCCCTGGGTTGGGAAGATCCCCATGGAGAAGGAAATGACAACCCACTCCTGTATTCTTGCCTGGGAAATCCCACAGAGGAGTCTGGCAGGCTACAGTTCATGGGGTCGCACAGAGTCAGACACGACTGAACGTACACACATATACATATGATATAGTGAAAAGAAAGTGAGGTCGCTCAGTCGTGTCCGACTCTTTGTGACCCTGTGGACTAATGTAGCCTACCAGGCTCCTCCATCCATGGGATTCTCCAGTCAAGAATACTGGAGTGGGTTGCCATTTCTTTCTCCAGGGGATCTTCCCGACCCAGGGATCGAACTCTGGTCTCCTACATTGCAGGCAGACACTTTACCCTCTGAACCACCAAGGGAGTCCCATACATATGGTATATACATACCATATTCAGAATATGTGTATTCTGCTTTTAAAAATAGACTTACTATCTTCTAGGGAGCTAAGGTAGAATAAACAGAATAATGTCAGAATTTACTGTGCTAATGGAAGAAAAATTTGAATTTGTATGTCTTTGCTTTGTAACTCTGAAACCATAGTTCCAGAAACACACATGTAATGGAGAAAAAATGGGATAGTTTCGAAACTTGGTTCTTGCTAGCTTTCTGATGTTGCAAGTTCAAATATCAGTTCTCCTTGTGTCCCCTTCCCTGATGACTCTTGCAGTGACCCTTTCTTATTTGCAGTCATCTGCCTTAAAATTAACCAGGTGTCATGTAAACAAAGTTGTCATCTCCAAAGTCCAGAGCCATGAAGTAGGGATGTAAGTATTATAAATAAATGAAATTCAGTGAGTGTGGAATGTCATTCAAGTTTGTAATCAACAAATATTGTTAGTCTACTTAAAAGTTGTGTAACAGCTTTTGAAACATTGTTTGCTTTGGATAAGACTCATAATTAAGACTTAAAAGGGGGAATTACAGTTTCGAGTAAAGAGGCCATTTGTATTCTTTTGTATTTGAAAAATACATAAAATGCACAAAATCTTTTTGTGATCCTTATATCACTACACATTTATTTGGTTTCTTCTCTCATGTTAAAGAAAAACTGATTTTTTGGCATGCATATCTCTAGCAGAGAAAATTTAATCTTGTTTGCGTTGTTAGACCTGATGATGTTTTGACCATTATCTGACTAAATCTCCTACGAACATTTTTTCATAGTTTTGGTACCACAAAATAGAAGGCACGGAACCAGGTTGAAAGGCATTCCATTCAATTCAGTACCTGAGATATATAGGTGTAATTAGGAACAGTTTTGTTTTAAATTTAGATGTCCTAATCACAAAACTACTGAACTTGGAAAAAAGAATTATTTTTGCCTTTGCTTTTTCTTGTTTTTAAAAAATATGACACAGACCACATTATCTCATCAGTCTGCCTGTCCAAAAATATAGAGCAAACTTACTAAATATGTGTTGATCATATCCTTGATAAATCAAGAAACCTATGAACATGTTATCAAGGTGTTTTCAGCCTATTCTGCCTTATAAGAGAAAGATTAAGGATAGACTAGAGTCTTATATTTTAGTATAATTCCATTCAATGTTTCAAGTCAGAGAAGGTACTGACTTGATTCTTTTACCATCTTTATTTTCCAGCACACATACCTATAAGATTATGAAATAATTATAGGCAACAATATTCTTATCATTGCTTTTGTGTATCTGCTTATTTTGGAGGACTTGTCATTTAATGCAATGATCAATGCCTGTGTACTACTGAATTTTTGGTTATCTTTTAGGTCCAATCAGCAGTGCCCTGGTGAATAAATATGGCAGTCGTCCAGTCATGATTGTTGGTGGCATCTTGTCTGGCAGTGGCTTGATTGCTGCTTCCTTCTGTAACACTGTGCAGGAACTTTACTTTTCTGTTGGATTCATTGGAGGTGAGTTGATTCATTTTCAAGCATTGATATATTGCCGGTTATTTGGTATTCACCTACATTGGTCCTTCAGCTCTTTTGAATCAAAGTCCCTCATAGAAGTTATCATTTTGACAAACTGTTAATTTAAGAGCAATAGAAAGTCAAATTTTTAAAGAAACTGCTGTCATACAGTAGGTATACATTGTTGAATAAATGAATGAATTGAAAGAAATCATTGTATCTCTTGTCTTAAGAATAGTCAGTGGTTGTAGATAAAATGTGTTCTGCGCTTTGTTTCAAGAGTGGTCACTGGTTACTGTTTCATTACCTTTTCCTCTTACCAGGGAAAAGACATCTATTGGAGCACCAGAGAGTATTAAACATAAAGCAGGAATTATCTGGTACAACATCCAGGTTGTTCTCTGAGTCTGCTTTTTTCTTGTTATATTTGCTAGTTTGTATTGTTGAGATTGCACATATAAGTGGTAACATAGAGTATTTGCCTTATTCTGTCTGACTTATTTCACAGCACAGTGCCCTCCAAGTCCATCCATGCTGTTGCAAATAGCAAATTTTTTTGTTCTTTTTTATGGCTGAGTAGTATTCAGTTGCATATATTTATCAATTGGGCTTTCCCAGTGGTTCAGCAGTCAAGAATCTGCTTGCAATGCAGGAGATGAAGGAGACACGTGTTTGATCCCTGGGTGGGGAAGATCCCCAGAGGAAGAATAATGCTGTGATGAACAGTGGGTTTCTTAAGATTTCATATATATTTTAGAATTTTTTTGTTCTATTTCTGTGAAAAATGTCCTTGGGATTTTGATAGGGATTGCACTGAACGTGTAGGTTGCTTTAGGTAATAAGGAGATTTTGACAATGTTGATTCTTCCAGTCCATGAGCACAGAATATCTTTCCATTTTATTTGTATCTTTTTGAATTATATACCTCTTATTTTCTTTGTCTGGCTAAGTAATGCAAAATATGTCTCTGACATTTATTGTAATATATGATTCTTTTTTCTCTTCTCCTCAGGTCTTGGGCTTGCCTTCAACTTAAATCCGGCTTTGACCATGATTGGCAAGTATTTCTACAAGAGACGACCACTGGCAAATGGACTAGCCATGGCAGGCAGCCCTGTGTTCCTCTCTACCCTGGCCCCCCTCAACCAGGCTTTCTTCATGATCTACGGCTGGAGAGGAAGCTTCCTAATTCTCGGGGGCTTACTACTAAACTGCTGTGTGGCTGGAGCTCTGATGAGACCAATAGGGCCCAAGCCAACCGCTGCAGAGAAAGAGAAGTCTAAAGGATCCCTTCAGGAAGCTGGAACATCTGAGACAAAAAAGGGGGCAGGTGATGCAAATACAGATCTCATTGGAGGAAACCCCAAAGAAGAGAAAAAATCAATCTTCCAAACACTTAATACATTCCTGGACTTAAGTCTGTTCAAGCACAGAGGCTTTTTGCTTTACTTATCTGGAAATGTGCTCATGTTTTTTGGACTATTTACACCATTGGTCTTTCTTAGCAATTACGGCAAGAGTAAGCACTACTCTAGTGAGAAGGCTGCCTTCCTTCTTTCCATTCTGGCTTTTGTTGACATGGTAGCCAGACCTTCTATGGGACTTGTAGCCAACACAAAGTGGGTAAGACCTCGAGTTCAGTATTTTTTTGCTGCATCTATTATTGCAAATGGAATGTGTCATCTGGCAGCACCTTTATCCTCTACCTATGTCGGGCTCTGTATCTACGCGGGATTCTTTGGATTTGCTTTTGGGTGGCTCAGCTCAGTATTGTTTGAAACACTGATGGACCTTGTTGGACCCCAGAGATTCTCCAGTGCTGTGGGATTGGTGACCATTGTGGAGTGCTGTCCTGTACTCCTGGGGCCACCAGTTTTAGGTACAGTATGTCTCTATATTTCTATGGTTCTATTAACATAAAACAGGCAGAGAAGATTAGGAAGGTAACAGAAACAAAAGTCAGTGAGCTGCCCGATATCCTTCTCATTTCTATGTCCTCAGTGCTGACATAGTGTTTATCATATAATTGCTCAAATACTTGAATTAAGGTGAATCATCAAATTGAAAGAAGAAGTAAAAACTACTACAAACTCGTATTTATTAAAATAATTTAATAACAGTAGGTACCATAGGTACAGTAGGTGAGGTTTCATAGTATACCAGGAACTGTCCTAATTATTTTCTTTATTCTGTCATATATTATAAGTCTATGATGTTGGACTATTACTGTTCTCATTTTATAAACCAAGAAATAGAGGCTTCTGAAAGTGAAATTACTTGCTTGCCCAGGATCACACAGCTCATAGGTGACTATAAAACCTGATGTATTATTATCTCAAGAATGCTAACCAGTTTACATTTAAAAGTTATCATTAATAGAAAATACAACAGTAATTTCGACTTCTGGATGCGACTCATGCTTTTCAGATTATACAGTATAAAGTCAGGAAGGATACATAACAGAAGACCCATTAACTGACCTGTCAAAATTTTTCTATCCTCTCTCTCCCTGTACCTAAGTGAAGTTGCTCAGTCGTGTCTGATTCTTGGCGAGCCCATGGACTGTAGTCTACCAGGCTTCTCTGTCCATGGAATTTTCCAGCCAAGAGTACTGGAGTGGGTTGCCATCTCCTTCTACAGGGGATCTTCCCAACCCAGGGATCGAACCCAGGTCTCCCACATTGTAGGCAGACGCTTTACCATCGGAGCCACTAGGGAAGCCCTCCCTATACCTAAGGAGACTAAATCCTGTCCATTTTTGCTTCCTAAATCTCTTGTCTAATCTGCCCATTTTTCCTCCATCAGAACTACTATTCTTATCCATATCTTCTATCTGTAGGCTTCTAACTTTACCCATATTTGCTCTAGCTGTTCTCCAGTCTCTTAGAACACTCCAGTTGCTTCCTGCGTTCTTAGGGTGAGGATCAGATTCCCTACTGTGGCTGCTGGTTCCTGCATGACCTAGCCGCCTCTTTCTCCAGCTTCATTTCCTACCACTCCGTTAGCCTTCTGTGCTTCCCCTCTCACCTGGTGCTTCCTCCTGCCACCTGCCTCAGCACTGGCTGTTCTCTGCCCGGATCCTTTTCCCATCTCCTTTCTCCTAGATTAACTCTTATCCTGTAAGTCTTGGTTAAGTTTATACTTTAAGAAAAGCCTTCCTGGGACTTGCCTGGTGGTCCAGTGACTAAGTCTCCTTGCTCCCAATGCAGGGGGCCTGGGTTTAATCCCTGGTTGGGGAGCTAGATCCCACATGCTACAACTAAGAGTTCGCATGCCACAACTAAGACCTGGTGCAGTCAAATAAATTTTTTTTAAGATAAAAACTTCCTGGTACTGAGTTTCACACTGGGGTAAACTATTTTGTTAGCATGTTTTAAGGCTTTAACAGAAAACGGCAAGCAATAAAATAACTTGTTATCCCACCGCACAGAGACCATTGCTGGTAGCTAATTTGCTATTTGGGGGAACAGATAAAAGCACATATTCTTTCAAAGAAAATGTGTGCAGTGCCATAAATGACCTTTTGTAACCTCTTTGCACTGATTACATACATTTCAATCAATTTCCTTAAAGAGAAAAAATATTTTTAATGCCTGCTTATTATAAAACTGTACCCTTCGAGGCTCCTCTATCCATGGGATCTCCCAGGCAAGAATACTGGGGTGGGTTGCTGTTTTCTCCTCCAGGGGATGTTCCTGATCCAGGAATCAAACCCATGTCTCCTGCATTGGAATTTAGATTCTTCACCAGCGAAAGCCACCAGGGAAGCCCTCTCCTAAACAGAGTTTTAACCAACCCCCAGCAGTTTTTTGTTTTTTTTTTTTTAATTTTTTTTTTCCATTTAATAAATATTTACCAAGAAAAGAAAAGCCTTCCCGACCTTTCTTACTGGCCCAAACCCCCTATTTTTTGCCTTCAGACATTCCTGTAGCACTTGTCACAATCTTTGTGGTTACTGCATTAACATTTCTCATCTCTGCTGAACTATGGATGTGATCTCCTTTGCTCACTCTTAACTCAGGGCTTAGCAGACCCAGGGCCGTACTGATATATAGAAACTAAGTATTGCTGAGTGAGTGATGCCCTGCATTGGAAAACCATATCGAATCATATTTGAATTGGTTATTACATCCTTTATATGTGTAGAGTTTTCCAAAGTATCTTAATATTAGTTTGATGAGTTGCTGATAAGTTTCTTTAATATCAGACCTCATAAAAACTTGAATAGAAAAGACTATGGTGTGTCATTTCCAAATTTACTTGACTATGGAAACATTAGGGAGGTAGCCTGAAGCACAGAAGTTATAGGTGCACGCCTCAGATTCAGACTCCCTGGGCTTAAAGCCAACCTGTTTCACTTAAAACTTTGTGACCTTCCTTAAAGTTTCTGTACTTCAGCTTTTATGTTATACAGTGGTAATGATGATAGAATCTTCCTGTTGTGAGGTTAGAATGGTGGAAAGCATTGCTGTTAGTTAATGTTTTAGCAGAGGATGGGTGTCCCCAGGAATGCTTTTGGGGAAATGCTGATGTCTGAAAAAGTGCATTGGCCTGGGAGACTGGAATTACCTCTGTGGCCTTGGGCAAGACTCCTGAACCTCTTTTGAGCAAATTTTTCCATTGTATATTGAGAAAACTGATTCTGCGTGATCTCAAGTGTTAGTCACCCAGCTGTATCCAACTGTTTGGACTATAGCCTGCCAGGCTTCTCTGTCCATGGGATTCTCCAGGCAAGAATACTGGAGTGGGTTGCTGTTCCCTTCTCCAGGGATCTTCTTGACCCAGGGATCAAATACAGGTTTCCTGCATTGCAGGCAGATTCTTTACTGTCTGATCCACTAGAGAGACCCAGGTGATCTCAAGGACATTGCAATTCAAAATTACCACGATTTAATCATTTTCAAGTTGCTAAAGATAATGTGCAGGGACACCCCAAATCAGTGTGATGACATAGACAAAAGATCAAATAATTTTGAGCATTTATGTCAAAAATTTATGTCATAAATTTGTCATTTATGAGCTCTTTGAATGGATCATTAAACTTTATTTGGGAAAGGGTATAATTGTTTATCCTCATAACTTTTTTTTTTACATTCTCAGGTCGTCTCAATGACATATATGGAGACTACAAATACACATACTGGGCATGTGGCATAATCCTTATTGTCGCAGGCATCTATCTTTTCATTGGCATGGGCATCAATTACCGACTTCTTGAAAAAGAACAGAAAGCTGAGCAGCAGCAGAAAAAGGAAGGTAAAGACGAGGAGACCAATGTAGATGCTGCTGAGAAGCCAAAAGAAGTCACCGATGCAGCAGAATCTCCAGAACATAAAGCCACAGAAGGAGATCCCAAAGAGGCGGAGAGTCCAGTTTGAACCTGTGGGACTGAAGGGTAAATGGTGCAGCTCATGACCCAAAATATTCTATTGGCCTGTGATCTACCAGTGGTGCTCAATGCAAATACTGGACATTTCTGTGGGAATCATACCAGGGGTTTATTGATGGAATTTTTGTTTCACTCCTTACCAGTAGCCTGGATTAAAAATGCCTAGCCTTGGGAAGGGAGTGGTTGAGAAAGAATGAGAAAAGGAAGTCAGTTTGTGTGTTTGTTTCTTTGTTTAAATCTTTGCTTTTAACAGTGTCATGAAGATTATAATACGTGCCTTAATTAAGTTTTAGTCTTTAGGGAGCCTTAACTATTAACTATTCTGCTTAACTCATCCATTTTCAGTGTTCGTTACAAATAAAAATAACTGCTTTGAGGCAAATCTAAAATTTTAAATTAATTTTGTTTCATATTGTCACTAGAAGATTTGAAAGTTGGGGGTTTTATAAAATCCTGACTAAAATATTTTCCTAGCATCAATAGTTGCTTGGCATATGTGCCTGCTGGATATGTATTTAGGAAATTTAAGGCATGAAACTTTGAAAACATCTTGGCTTTTCTAGATGCATTGTACTCATTATCACCCCTCCAGTATCTTTTCTTGGGTTGCTTATTAGAAGTCAAGTGCTTGAGAGCTGATTTCATTAAATTACTATTTTTGTTCCCCTTTCCAAAGATACATTTTGCATAGTCATACATAATTGCCCCTTTTGGGATTACATACTGTTTTTTTCACTGTAAAAATTAGTATTAAAATACACAACTATGTATTAGTGCCCCCTCACTAAATTAAATGTAGAAAGATCCATTCATACAGCAGCTGAATTCAGCTTAAATTTTTCCAAAACTTCAGTTAAACTGTGAGACTTGGAATCTTTTTTTGTTGCTGTTTTCCTGGAGTTCTACCCCTTTGCTTCCTAGCGGTTTCATTCATATCCACATCCAGCTTAGCACGAGTGTGAGATGGGCAGTCTGTAGTGTTTGCTGATTAAAGAGAACCACAGAGATCTGGCCCACACAAACCAGCAGGGGTAAGATTGGGAGGGAAGTTGCTATTTTTGCTTATTAACTCCTTTTCTTTTTCTGATAAGGCCTTAAAGGAAATTATGTTTTGCTTAGAATTATTGGACATATTCTTATTCTTCACACAACCCTAAAGATTTTGTAACCCTTTTTCACTTTATCTGAAATGTAAAGAAATGGGTTTAGTATACAGATAGGGAGGGGGACAGGCCAGAATGAAAACTGTAAATTTTCTTTTAAATTGCAGCAGGAAGATAATGTTAGACATTCAATGAATTATATTCAATGCATTTTAAAATATTGCAGTTGACAGTGTGAAAGTATAGACATAAAACCTTATTTAACAGGCTGGCTTTTTAAAATAAAAATTTTCTTTCTCTTTTTTTTTTTTAAGGAATGTTTCTTCCAAATGTTTATTTTCTTGAGGAAAATATTGTGTGTCTTCATTTTCATTATCAAGATTCAATCTGGCCCTTGCTAATGTTAAATAATTCAGCACATGTGCATTGGAATTTGTGTACATGGCTTATTTTGATTTTTCTCCTTAACCTCTTCTTCCAGGCAAGCAGGAGAGAAATTAAACTACTTCTCTGAAAGCGTTTTGAAAGCGGAGCAGTTAATCTTAAGGACATAATGAAAACTCCCTTTCTGTACTCAGGTATCATGGCAGATGGAGGAGAAATTTTAGGGGAGAAGCCTGCTGTGATTGTTGACAGGCTTGGCTCCAGTTTGGACTCTGCCATTTTCCACAGACCTAACCTCTGTATGCCTCTTTCCCTTTCTATAAAAGTGAGGATCACGCTGAGTAGAGTAATACAAGTGAAAAATGTGGGGTGGCGGAGTAAACCAGGAGTCTAAGATTATGTTCCCCCATCCCAGGTGTTAAGCTACATCCATACATGGGCCCTGCTTAGTTTGTTTCCACTAACTGAAACTTGTTAGTGAAATGATGAAATTCTGGTGCAGAATGATCATCATTTATTGGGAGGAAGGGCTCTGAAGTTGCTGTATTTGGAAGCAAAAGGTTAAAAACTGGCTCAAAGCTGGACTAAACAAAACCTTTTACCACCCAATCCAACTCTGACTTTTTCCCACTGAAGACACAGGCTTAAGGGATTTATTCAGGATCAGTTTTGGTAACAGAGCCAACACTAAAGCCCAGTATAGGCCTACTCTGCCATCTAGTCCTTGCTAACAATCAGCTAATCCTCTCGTGTTGCAGTGCTGTTTTCAACACTGGATGCATCTGAGCTTTCTGACTGGGCAGTCTGTTGTCCCTTGCTCCATGTGAGGACTGACTAGACTTCTTTTTTGTTTTTTTTGACTAGACTTCTTAAGTTTTATTTCAGTTGACAGAGTTTCAGTGGCTGCTCTGGGAAAATAGAGTACCTGCCTATCCTTGCTTCCCTCTGTCCCACACTCTGTTAAAGTCAGAAAACATAGCTCTCTAGATTCTTGTGCCCAAAGAGGCTTGGGACTGGTCAAGAGTATGCTCTGAAATAGTCTCAATTCAAAGCTGAAAAATTGTTTAAGAAACTGGTAGACTGGATAGTTGCAGATGATCATGGCAACAAGACCATATTATCACATTATAGTCATTTTTTGAGAACTGAAATAATCTTAACCTATTCAAAATAATTTCTATAAAAAGTATTCAGAAAAGGATGATGCTAAAACAAACTATAGAAAATTCAGGGAGGTATTTTTATCCCTGATTTAATCACACTGATGAATAATCTTATTCTTGTTTTATTATATTGAATTTCAGATTGATAAATTCAGAATTGGTTTATATGAAAAACCTCAATGTCCCAGGTTTTCCATGTTCCCTAGGAAATGGTTCATAGTATAGTAAATTTAATTATCAGGTGTGCATCACCCGCCTCCTTGTCGTTGGAAAGATGAGGAAAGGTGAACAGTGTATGTCCATCTTTGCAGCATGGCTTGTTTTAATAATCAGATCAGGTACTTGAAGAAAGAGGTTAATGACAGACTTTGGCTGCTATGAAAACTTGTAAAGAAGTGATGGCCCAAGCTTGCCTGGCTTGCCCAAATGTAAGCAATTAAGTCAAGTTGCTTCAGATTAGAAGCATCTAAGGAGGTTTCAAATACATCATTGCTGAAATGTGTTTTAGCTTTAGGATTTCAGATTCAGTCATCCTTTCCCCCACTTAGTCTGGGCCGTTGTGACAGTCATTCAGTAGAATATCTCTTCTCAGCTATACAGCACTGATTTACTTTTTGCTGGCTTTTTACCATGACTTGCTAGAAGACACTGGAATAGCTAGCAAAGAAATCACAGCCTACTGGTTGTTCAACAGTATAGACTGCCAGGGTTCAAACAATGGCTATGTGACCTCAAACCTAAGCATCAGGTGTTTTCTTCTGTAAAGGTGTTAATAATTAATGCCATCCCTCGCCCCAGGGCTGTCATGAAGTTTAGTTGATATGTGACAGCTTGTATTAGGCAAGGGCTTAATAAGTGTAAGCACCTATTTAAAAAAAAAAAAAAATATATATATATATCAAAGATATGTAGTACTTGTGGAAAAATTGAGCTCTTCTAATTCCCAAGGTGGGTGGAGCCTCACAGAGGATAGTTGGGAGTGACTCTTAAAGTAAGACTGTTAGCTAAATGATCAAACTCCTTTTAGACCTATCCTCCTTTTAGCCTTACAAATGTAATGGTCCCTGTTTGGTAGTGAATGGAAACTAACACTGCATGAGAGTGGTGCTCTTTAAGTAGGTAGGTTTGAATCCCAAAGCCCTTGGTAGGGGAGGAGCTAAGATGGCAGAGGAATAGGATAGGGAGACCACTTTCTCCCCTACAAATTCATCGAAAGAACATTTGAACCCTGACCAAAGCCCTTGGTTTTTGTACACTGCCCCTACAAGGAAGAGGCACCTGATTAGTAAATGATAATCCTTTTCCTTCAAGATTTGTGATGATTCTAAAAAGAGCAGAAATATAATGAGCAGCCAGTCATGATTGAAGTCCTCTCTACCTAGTTCTTAAATGTAAATGTTCTTAATGTAAACTGAAAGATTGATGAGCTTTGAATTTTATCCCACTACATTGATATATGATTTAAATCATAAATTGTCATCAGTTGGTGGCTGAATAAATTGGTACAACATATTGGCAAAGTTTTGCTGCTTTTATTGACTACACAAAAGCCTCTGACTGTGTGGATCACCACAAACTGGAAAATTCTTAAAGAGATGAGAATACCAGACCACCTGACCTGCCTCCTGAGAAATCGGTATGCAGGTCAAGAAGCAACAGTTAGAAAGGGACATGGAAAAACTGACTGGTTCCAAATTGAAAAAGGAGTACATCGAGGCTGTATATTGTCACCCTGCTTGTTTAACTTATATGCAGGGTACGTCATGCGAAATGCCAGGCTGGATGAAGCACAAGCTGGAACCAAGATTGCCAGGAGAAATATCAATAACCTCAGGTATGCAGATACCACCCTTATGGCAGAAAGCAAAGAAGAACTAAAGAGCCTCTTGATGAAAGTGAAAGAGGAGAGTGAAAAAGCTGGCTTAAAACTCAACATTCAGAAAACTAAGATATGGCATCTGGTTCCATCACTTCATGGCAAATAGATGGGGAAAGAGTGGAAACAGTGACAGACTTTCCTTGGGCTCTAAAATCACTGCAGATAGTGACTGCAGCCATGAAATTAAAAGACGATTGCTCTTTGGAAGGAAAACTATGACAAACCTATTTAAAGAAAGCCAAGTGCTGAAGAAAGCATATTAAAGAAAGCCAAGTGCTGAAGAATTGATGCTTTTGAACTGTGGTGTGGGAGAAGACTCTTGATAGTTCCCTGGACTGCAAGATCAAACCAGTCTGTCCTAAAGGAAATCAGTCTTGAATATTCATTGGAAAGGCTGAAGCTGAAACTCCAATGCTTTGGGCACCTGATGCGAAGAACTGACTCATTTGAAAAGACCCTGATGCTGGGAAGGACTGAAGGTGGGAGGAGAAGGGGACAACAGAGGATGAGATGGTTGGATGACATCAACTCGATGGACATGAGTTGGTGATAGACAAGGAAACCTGATGTGCTACAGTCCATGGGATTGCAAAGAGTCGGACACAACTGAGCAACTTAACTGAACTACTAGTTCCCAAGCATTGTTCTAAGTTTTGAGAATCCATAATGTCTTTACATGCATGCATCCTACTTTGTAGTAACGGAAAGCAGGCACTGAAGAGTAAGTTATAAGGAAAACGCAATATGGATAGAAGATAAAACCCTCATTAATTCATTCACCTAAATTGGAATTTTGGAGTGCTGTCTATGTGCTTATCTGGTTTCTAGATAGAAGGGATAACGATCAGAATCTAGTTCCTGGCACCCACAGCTTCTATTCTAGAGGGAAGACTGCATAGTAAGTGCTGTGACAGGACAACACATGGAGAAGTCTCTAACCCAATCTCAGGGGGGCCTAAAGAGGACAAAAAAGTATATACTCTTGAGCAAGTTAATTTCTCTAAGCCTCTTTGGTAAATTAAACATAATTATTGTGAGGATTGTGAATGTACACTGCATACAGCTGAATGAACAGTAGTATTAGTTGAGCTCATAGTAGCTTTAAAAATTAAACAGTGTCAGTTGTCATCAGAACAATCACTGGAATACACAAAGGCCTTTCCAGTATATCGTCTGATTCATGCAATATCCTAGGGCGTGTGTTGTGGGTGTGCTCAGTCACTGAGTCGTGTCCCATTCTTTGTAACCTCATGAACTGTAGCTTGCCAGGCTCCTCTGTCCATAGGATTTCCAGGCAAGAATGCAGGAGTGGGTTGCCATTTCCTACTCCAGGGGATCTTCCTAACCCAGGGATTGAATTGCTGTCTCTTGCATCTCCTGCATTGGCAGGCAGATTCTTTACCACTACACCACCAGTGGGTATAAGTGAAAAAATACCCTTTAACTGGGTTTTACCACTCTTCCCAACCCCTGCATACAGCTCAGCTGCTGGAGCTGAAGGTTGTACTGGATGGAAGTTTGGAAACACAAGAATGAGAAAGGTTGTATCCTGGGTAATCTTGAAGGATGAATAGAGTCCAATCACTTGGACTCTGCACCAATGGTCCTGACGCCAGTGAATTCACAATCTGACTTACAGTCGTTTCCTTGGCTTCAGAATTCATAATGTGATTTCTTTACTTGTGAGATTTCCTTTTCTAATGTGCTTTACTGATTCCAGAATTAAAAGTTTGCATTTCCGGAGCTTACTCTGGCCAGGTCCCAAGTGGAAGTGGCTAGAAGCCATTAAGAAGCCAGGAGGTGATTAAAAATCACCTGGTGTGCTGACAATCTGTGTGTCCATAGTTATCAAGAGAAGGTTTGTAATAGTTCTTGTCATTGTGGTCTAGCTTTCCCTATCTTATTTTTTTTTACCTTTGAAACCAAAACAAGTGTGTGTCTGCTAAGTCACTTCAGTCGTGTCCAACTCTTTGCAACTCATGGACTCCCCGGGCTCATCTGTCCATAGGATTCTTCGGGCAAGAACAGTGACTGGAGTGGGTTGCCATTTCCTTCTCCAGGAGATCTTTCCCAGCCAGAGATCGAACCCATGTCTCTTGCATCTCTTGCATTGGCAGGTGGGTGCTTTCGTGTTATGCTGTGCTTAGTTGTTCAGTCGTGTCCGACTCTCTGTGACCCCATGGACTGTAGCCTGCCAGGCTCCTTTGTCTGTGGGATTCTCCAAGCAAGAATACTAGAGTGGGTTGCAGTGCCCTCTCCAGGGATCTTCCCAACCCACAGATTGAACCCAGGTCTCCCGCACTGCAGGTGGATTCTTTACCGTCGGAGCCACTGTGGAAGCCCAAGCATGCTGGAGTGGGCAGCCTAAGCCTTCTCCAGGGGTCCTTCTGACCCAGGGATGAAACCAGGGTCTGCTTTTGTGATAGGCCTTATTTATATATGCTTTTCAGCATGGGAACTTTACAGACTTTTGGTAACAACCTTTTAAGTTCCCAGTGCTATCTTATTTCTCAGATGCTAAGAATGAGCATAAACAAGGACCACCTTGCAATGTAGGGGATGCAGGGATAGGTTCGATCCCTGGATGGGGAACTAACATGCCACATGCATGGAGCAACTAAGCCAAAAAAAAACCCCAAAAAACCCTTGGGAGTCCTTGTTCCACAAGGAAAGATCCCCCATGATGCAATGAACATCTCGTGTGCCACGATTAAGACCTGATATAGCCAAATAAATCAGTTAACTTTAAAAAATGAGCATAAACAGGCCTGCAGCAGACAGAACTGTGAGCCTAAACTACCTGCGCCCCAGCCCCTCCACACCTCTCCCCATTCCCACCCCACATTCCTCTGTGGTTGCCCAAATATTTAGACTTGACTTACTGTTTCTCCTTACAGTGCCCTCCTTTTCCCTGCCATAGGCTTCATTTTTAACAGCCTCCCTGTCAGTTCTCACCACCTTCAATTCAGCCTCAATGCTGCTGCTAAACTGACTTTTCTAAAAAGACCAGATTTTCAGCTGCCTTTATAACCTCAAAGCAATAACGATAATAAAACTCATTAATCACTCACTCTGCTTTAAATCCTGTAATTTGAGGATAAAGTCCAAAGTCCTTAGCATGACCCATAGGGCCCTTCTTAATTAGCTTCTGCATCAGTCTTCAGCCCACACCCTGCTCCCCAGCTCAACTGAATTACTTAGTTCTTTAACTAAGACCTTGTTTCCTAAGACCCTGCCTTCCTAAATGCTAATGCCTAGAAGCCCCTCCCTCCTTTCTCCTCAGCACCAACTCTGACTTTTGAAACTTGGCTCATGCCTGCTTCTACAAGGGGCCTTATCTGAGTCCCCAAATTGTTTTTGTTGTCCTGCTGATTTGTTCTTTTTCTTTTTTACTGAATGAAGGATTCTTTAAATTCTATTGTGCATTGTTGTTGTTAAGTTGCAAAGGCATATATCTGACTAGTAGTGACCCCACAGACTGCTGCATGCCAGGCTTCCCTGTCCTTCACTATCTCCCAGAGTTTGCTCAAATTCATTGTGTCAATAATGCCATCCAACAATCTCATCCTCAGTCAACCCCTTCTCCTCCTGTCTTCAATCTTTCCCAGCATCAGGGTCTTTTCCAATGAGTCAGTTCTTTGCATCAGGTGGCCATTGTATTGGAGCTTCAGCTTCAGCATCGGCCCTTCCAATGAATATTCAGGGTTGATTTCCTTTAGGATTGACTGATTTGATCTCCTTGCAGTCCAAGGGACTCTAAAGAGTCTTCAGCGCCACAGTTCAAATCATCCGTTCTTCAGTGCTCAGCCTCCTTCAGTGCTCAGATGTGTCCAACTCTCACATCTGCACATGACACTGGAAAAACCATAGCTTTGACTAGACAGACCTTTGTTGGCAAAGTAATGTCTGACTTTTAATACACTGTCTAGGTTGGTCACAGCTTTCCTTCAAAGAAGCAAGCGTCTTTTAATTTCATGGCTACAGTCAGCATTCACAGTGATTCTGGAGCCCAAGAAAATAAAATTTGTCACTGTTTCCACTTTTCTCCCATCTATTTGCCATGAAGTAATGGGACTGGATGTCATGATCTTAGTTTTTTGAATGTTGAGTTTTAAGTCGGCTTTTTCACTCTCTTTCACCTTCATGAAGAGGCTCTTTAGTTCCTCTTTGCTTTCTGCCATTATAGTGGTATCATCTGTATATCTAAGGTTGTTTGTCCCCGCAGTCTTGATTCCAGCTTGTGATTCATCCAGCCCAGCATTTTGCGTGATGTATTTTGCATAGAAGTTAAATAAGTAGGGTGACAATATACAGCCTTGGCAAACTTTCTCAAGTTTGAACCATTCTGTTCCATGTCTGGTTCTGACTGTTGCTTCTTGACCTGCATAGGGGTTTTTCAGGAGGCAGGTAAAGTGGTCTGGTATTTCCATCCCTTTAAGAATTTTCCACAGTTTGTTGTGATCCACACAGTCAAAGGCTTTAGCATAGTTAATGAAGCAGAAATAGACATTTTTCTGGAATTCCTTGCTTTCTCAATGATCTAATGGAGGTTGGCAATTTGGTTCCTCTGCCTTTTCTAAATCCAGCTGGTTACATCTATAAGTTCTTGGTTCACATACTGTTGAAGCCTAGCTTGAAGGATTTTGACTGTTACCTTGCGAGCATGTGAAATGAGCACAATTGTACAGTAGTTGGAACATTCTTTGGCATTGCCTCTCTTTGGGACTGGAATGAAAACTGACCTTTTCCAGTCTTGTGGCCACTGCTGAGTTTTCCAAATTTGCTGAAGTATTGAGTGTAGCCTTTTAATAGCATCATCTTTTAGGATTTGAAATAGCCGAGCTGGAATTCCATCACCTCCACTAGCTTTGTTTGTAGTAATGCTTCCTAAGGCCCACTTGACTTCACACTCCAGTGTGTCTGGCTCTAGGTGTGTGACCACACCATCACGGTCATCCAAATCATTACGACCTTTTTTGTACAGTTCTTCTGTGTAGTCTTGCCACCTTTTCTTAATCTCTTCTACTTCTGTTAGGTCCTTGCTGTTTCTCTCCTTTATTGTGCCCATCCTTGTATGAAATATTCCCTTGATGTCCCCAATTTTCTTGAAGAGCTCTCTAGTCTTTCCCATTCTATTGTTTTCCTCTATTTCTTTGCATTGTTCACATAAGAATGCTTTCTTATCTCTCATTGCTAGTTTCTGGAACTCTGCATTCATTTGGGTTTATTTTCCCCTTTCTCCTTTGCCTTTCACGTGTCATCTTTACTATCCTTAGGGCCTCCTCAGACAACGACTTTGCCTTCTTGTATTTCTTTTTCTTTGGGATGGTTTTGGTCACTGCCTCCTATACAATGCTATGAACCTTCATCCATAGTTCTTCAGGCACTCTGTCTACCAGTTCTAGCCCCTCGAATCTATTCATCACCTCCAGTGTATAATCATAAGGGATTTGATTTAGGCCAAACCTGAATGGCCTAGTGGTTTTCCCTACTTTCTTCAATTTAAGCCCGAGTTTTGCAAAGGAAGCTCACAGTCTGAGCCACAGTCAGCACCAGGTTTTGTTTTTTCCTGATTGTATAGAGCTTCTCCATCTTTGGCTGCAAAGAATATAATCAATCTGATTTCATTATTGACCATCTGGTGATGTCCATGTGTAGAGTTGTCTCTTGTGTTATTGGAAGAGGACACTTGCTATGACCCACGTGTTCTCTTGACAAAGCTCTGTTAGCCTTATGCCCTGCTTCATTTTGTACTCCCAAGGCAAAACTTGCCTGTTACTCCAGGTATCTCTTGCGTTCCTACTTTTGCATTCCAATTCCCTATTTTAAAAAGGATATCTCTTTTGGGTGTTAGTTCTAGAAGGTCTAGAAGTTTGTCTTCATAGAACTGGACAACCTCGGATCTTTGGCATTAGTGGTTGGGGCATAGACTTGGATTACTGTGATTTTGAATGGTTTGCCTTGGAAATGAACTGAGATCATTCTGTTGTTTTTGTGGTTGCACCCAAGTACTGTATTTCAGATTCTTGTTGACTGTGAGGGTTACTCCATTTCTTCTAAGGGATCCTTGCCCACAGTAGTAGATATAATGCTCATCTGAATTAAATTTGCCTATTCCTGTCCATGTTAGTTCACTAATTCCTAAAATGTTGATGTTTATTCTTGCCATCTTCTGCTTGATCACCTCCAATTTACATTGACTTGTGGACCTAACATTTCAGGTTTCTATGCAATATTGTTTTTTATAACATCAGACTTTACTGCCAGACACAGCCATAACTGAGCGTTGTCTCCGCTTTGGCACAGCTCTCTTTCTAGAGCTATTTCTCTGCTCTTGTCCAGTAGCATACTGGATGCCTACTGACCTGGGGGGCGAGGGGCTCAACTTCCAGTGTCATATCTTTCTGCCTTTTCATACTGTTCATGGGGTTCTTGAGGCAAGAATACTGGCTTGATTTGTCATTCCCTTTTCCAGTGGGCCACGTTTTGTCATAGCTTCATTGAGTTACACAGGCCCCTTTGCCACGACAAGTCATCCATGCGATCGTTTTGGTTAGCCTTGTGTGATTGTGGT